ATATTTTACGATTAGAATTTACGTATTTTCGTATGTATCGAAGAAAAAAAAAAAAAAAAAAGGGAAAATTCTAAATTTTTTTTACTCGTTACTCGTTAAATAGATTAAAATCTTGAACATTGAAATTACATACAAGATTTAAGTCGTGCGTCGACAACGAGAAAAACCAGGTAAAAAATTACGTAGCTGAGATTTAAAAGACTTTCGTTAAATCTTCTTAAGTTACTTTTAGCTAATTGGTGAAACTTTATGCGTATTGTGTTTAGAGGGGAAAAAAGTTGGATTCAGTTCACCGTTTTCCATTTTTAATCCGAAACGATAATCCGTCTGCATTCGCCAATTCTTAATAAGTATAACAATTTTTGATATTTTTTTTTTTATTGACAATTAAGAAAAACATCCTTTCATCCCTTATTTATTTAAGGATCGCATAATTTTCTAACACTTTCTATTTGTATGGTAAATTCTAAATACAAATTATCTGCGTATATACGTGATTAAGTTTGTTGAATTCCAAATAGATAATTGAAATTATCCTCGGAAATTGGAAGAAAAGCGGTATTTGTTTAACCGCTTTCGAGATTAAACTCGAAGAAATTTCGACTCGTCTGAACATTGTCCGTAATAAGAGGCCGATTTCATACCTAGAAACTGTTTCCAAAGTACCAGAGTTTAACTTGTTGGGAAACCAAGTTTTCTCTTTCACCTCGTACGTGGATTTTCTCTTTCAAGGTTAGCATCTACAAATACAAAACAGAAAGATATCGTGTGTTTAAACAGTTACGTTACCTTCGATTTGAATCGAATGTGCACGATATGTAATTATTTTTCGCGATACAAATTTTATCAAATTCACAAATTCTCAAATTCTCAAGAGGAAAGAGAAAGATCATTTAACAATTTTATTTGAACAAGAAATTAGCATAAAATTAAAAATTTCGATCGTTTTTTCTTGTTTCATGTTACGAACGTATACTATTGTTTTCTCTCAGAAATTTGTTTTTTTCTTTCCTTTTTTTTTTTTTTTGTAGAACGAAGCAATATCGGAAACATCGGAAAAGAAATAAATTGCGGTTTGCCCCAAGAGAAGTACGAAAATACGTTTGTTAGTTATTATGGTCAACTATCGAAACTAGATCGAATCTACCATTCGATTCCGTTTTATATTTTCGATCCAACAATGCAAAAATATTGATAATAACGATGTGCTAATATTTATTTTGAAACGTGTTAAAAAGAATTTACGATCAATTTTCTTTTACGTATTTTTAGTTACGTATTTCTAGTTTTTACATTGATTTTTGGTATAAAATGATGGATCAGTCTAACCAAGTTTTTTTTTTTTTTAAGAATTTACGAATTTCAAACGAGGTCGTTGTACATCGAAATCCGATCGATACGTTAATACGTGAAATCGATACCATCGATACAAATCCGAAACTAGAAGTGCAATGACACGCGATAAGACTTACCATGGTAAAACGTTTATTTTTATTCTATCCCGTAAAAAATCTCTGTAAATTTCGTTCATAAATATTCGAAACGTTCGACAAATTCTTTCTACCAAATAACGAGGATTATTTAATTAGCAACGAAAGAGAGAAATTCGATCGAGATTTACAAAAGGATTTACAACGTTTACATAGCTGGTTCAATTATTTTCTTACAAAGGTAAAACGAACGCGGTCGTTCGTTCGGAGAAAAGTAAATTAAATTGAAACCGTTCGAAATTCTTTTAACGAACCTATGCATTGTTTCTTTTAATCGATTAGAAAATCGTTTACGCCGGAGAACCACGTTGCGTTCGACTTTTGTTCAAAAGATAAAATAACAAGCACGAGAAGAATGGAAACGTGAAAGAGAACACCCAGAGATCGAAGCTATATAAAGTAATATACGATGATTTCGCTTATGCGCGTTTTTCACACGTTTTAGAATATATATTACGTATAATAGAATTTGTTACACATTATTTCCGATAAGTCGAGAAATGACGATAGAATTTTTCATAACGATAATGCAGGAAAAAAGAGGATGGAAAAGATGGTGTTTTAATACGAGAGAAAAACTTAGGGAACTAAAAGTTACGAGGGTAAACAGAGCGTCATAAATAATTGGAAAATGATGATGAACGAGAATTTTCTTGGACAATGACCAACAACGTTCTGGCCAATATGACGGAAAAGAATTTGTATTTTACTTACTTGTTTGCGAAAGATGGGCATTGAACGATTTATTATATTATATCTTCGTACTATAATATTCGGATTAATCGGAATAATTTTCAAAATTATCTTATAATATCTTTAATTTTTAGTTAATCCAAGTTATTTGAAAACTCGAAGAGAAGATGAAAACATGGAAAGCTACGTAAAACGTATAGAGCAGTTTTTCAACTCCGTGCCAGTAGGCAAACGTAGCTACGAGCTAGTGGCACGCGGTGAAAAATGGCATGATAACGGATGACCAATATCTTCTCAATGGCTGGGATATCCATGAATCCAACTCGCACTGTACTCTTCCTTTCATGGCCAATGCGAATCGGTCGGAATTAAAGCGAAAAATCATACTACGTACCAACCATAGATTTTTACGAAAAAAAAAAAAAAATTAGACAATATAATAGCTTTAATTATATAAAATAATAAGAAATTCCATCAGGTATATCTCGAACGCGAATCGTTCGATCACGCGAATCGTAAACTCGCTTTCACTTATCTACGTAATATACCTGTTACGATCTAGAAATAATATCATAATTTCTTCGAATCGAAAAACTTGGGCGTGGAATTTTTTTCACGATTAAAAAGCAATATTAAGTTTCTAGTTTCTTATTCGAACGATCGTTTTTTCGTTAATAATTAACGAGTGAGAAAGTAATATTCCAGAATTCCACTTTATTACTTTCTTGGATCAATATGTACATCATATGATTTACGTTTCGACCAACGATTTTCTTCCTTTTGTAAAACTTGTATTCGATAATGGACCTTATAATCCTTCTCTATTTACCGTTCGTTTCTTTAACGTTAAGAGTTAAACTTCAAACTTAATCGTCAAGCGAGGAAATAAATAAAATAAGATAAGAAGTTTGTATATATATATATATATAAGAATGTCCCTTATTTACGATTATTTATTTATTTATCGATTCAACTGATCATACCCTATAAAAAAAACATGTACGAACGACGAACGCACACATTGCCGATGAAATTCGTAATATTAATTAATAATGTGATTATCTATTATTAAAACAAAAAAAAAAAGAAAGTGTAAAATAAGCACGATACGCGAAGCATACGAAATTTAAGGTATATCGATCTCTCGATTGTATTGACGGGAGCCAGGTAATCAAGATGGAGTCAATAATCCATGATCCGTTCAGACTGGAAACCGGTCTACCCGACCGGTGTAATTGGGATCAGTGCTTATCTGTTGGCGCACACCGGGTTTCGACCCTCTTGCCAACATTGCCTCTCTTTGCCCCTCTATCGCCTTTCGTACGCAATTCGTACATGCCTACTTAGCGTAACAAATCCTCAAAGCGGTTTTAGGAATCGAACACGCGTTAACTAGCTACAATAACGATCCTTTTTAAATACGTTACATTACTTAATAATATTCAATTCGGTTAACTTTATCTTTATCCCTTTATTCCTTACAGAATGATTCGTATAATTCATTAACGTGTCATTTAAAATAATCGAGTTAAATGATTTTACATTTTATATTTTAGAAAAAATTTATCTGTTGTATGTACAATTTTTTCGCTAATAAAATCATATATATTAGAAAGAAATATCTTATATATATATATACACGTTAAGATATCGGCTCGATCGTTCTAAAATTGAATTTTATAATTTTAAACAAAAATTTTACGTAAATTTTGGCAGAAAGTATCTCTGGAATTGCTAAGTATGTACTATATACTCTATCTGTGCTCGTTACGGATGAAACAAACTTCGATAAATTTAATGGAGGAAGTTAAGACGATTTTGTTCTTTGAATCTCTAGAAACTCGAGGATCGGGAAAATACAAACGACGAGGATCTTAATTATTTTAATTATTTTAATAAAACTAGTAAGAAGGTTTTCAATTTTAAATAATAAATCAAATATTTGCGTGAAATAACAAACGTTATTACGAAGATTCAAAAACACAAAAATATAAAAATCGGAAGAGAGATGTTAAAAATATATTTATAGATTATTAAGATACGTGCGAATTAGTCGATGAAAAAGAAAAATTCATAAAGTTTTAATACGATGGAAACGCAAGTTTGTTTAATTTTGTTTGTTTAATCATGGGCTAAAAAGCTGATGTTTGCTCCATAATTATGATTGAGCGTGCATACTTATCCATATATAGAAAGACATAAGCATAAATTACGATGTATTTAATCGCACATATATTTCGAAAAACAGATGTTTATATTGTACGTATATATATATTGGTCGGTAGAATGCCAAATTCTCAGCAATGTATCGATACAGCAGAACGTGAAGAGAATGAGTTACTCGTGAGTCGTCGTGTGATACAAACAATACATATTCGATTGGATAGTTGATTTTGTCGAATCTTCCCACCCGATATTAGTTTAATTATATAGATTCGTTCCGATTTTCATTCAAACTTTTCATTCGGTCATGCCGTTTAAATAGAGCGAAGGTGAATTTAAATAAACAGGAAGAAAAGAATCGGAGCTGAATACTAAAAGAAAAGAGTAAACGATGGAATTTAATTAAAAATTGTTGTATCCGAAACAAGTACGAAAGTTAAAAAAATACTTTCGATTATTATTTTTTCTTATTTATTCATCGTTCGAAAATAGATATTTAAAGAAAGAATTTTCCGTCGATCGAATTAATCGAATTTTTACCTCGAATACGTAACGTAATAATTTCGTGATAATACTGAATGGAAAAATGGATCGATATGCATAGGATATCGTATTATACAGGACGCTTTAGAAGACAACACCCTTGTGTTTCAGAGGGACCGAGCTTTATCATGCCAATAAGAAACGTGACGATTCCGATGGGCAGGAAAGCCGTGCTCACTTGCGTCGTTGCAAATCTTTCTATCTACAAGGTAAATTTTCCACTAACCATGTCTCTTAATCTCTGAATCCTTTTTTCGCCTTTCTTTTCATCCTCAAAATTACATTGCATGGTTAGATTCCGATCGAATGGAAATCACTTTCTACCGAATCACTTTATATCGCGTTCCTTTATTTTACGTAGATAATTCTCTATACATACATTACATACGTGTATGAATGGATAAATGAATGGCGAATTTTTAACGATCCGCTTGTAAGAATCGATTCTTCGATTTTGCTAAGTTTTAGCTCGAAACGTCGAAACGTTGAAACGTCTGAAGAAGAACGGAAAGCTACGGTTCTCGCATGAACGATCAACGAACATTGCCCGTGGAAAACTGGGGCGTAAGCAAATTTCATTAATTCGCGATCCAGTAATCGCGAAACGGTTACCGAAACGGAAAGTCGTTTGTACGAAATCAATTGGCAATATCGCAAAATTTCTCGCGAATCGAGATATTTAACGATTACGAATATTTTTATTTTTCAGATTCGTATGACACTTTTCAGATGCGAAAAAAAAAAAATTTTCGACGAATAAGAATATCTCTGTTATTTAATATGGAATACAGAAAGAAGCGACGGTTTTGGAAAGGATGTTAAGCCGTATAAAGTTAAAACGAGTATAGCACAGCTCGAAACGAGCCTGCCTTCAGATGTAAACTTAGGTTAACTACGTCAGTTTAAGCCTAGATATTGCACAGTCACGGTTCATGGCCAGCAGATAAGACGTTCCTCGTCACTCTTAGGTAGCACTTAGGTTTTCTCCTCGGCGGCTCGGCTTTTCCTCGAACCCTCTCCTAGACCGAGAAATTACAATGACCGAAGTTACGGCGAATATCATCAACATAATTCTTCGTATTTATTTGCGATTACAATTTCGCTCGTTCAAAAATAGATAGATCTCGATACAAGTAAAAACGATACAATTGTTACTTTAAACAATTTTTTTTTTAAATTTTCATAACGTTTTATAACAGAAACACGATGACGATGATTCGTGAAATTCTCCAACATTTGTCGCGTTGTCTATAATTTCGCGCAACGATGTCAGTGGAATAAGTTCATTTCCGAGAAGAATTCGCGAAGCTTCGTGAATACGAGAGAGAAAGAGAGAATCTGGCGGAGATTTGCGATGCTTTAAAGAACAGCACACGCCGAAACTTTACTGCCCGCGGTGAACGCGTTCTCTCTTCTCACTGTATTCGTTCGTTCGCTCGTTCCTTCGCATTTTCACACCGTTCCATTCTCAACTCGACTGGACTAACCTCGTACACGAACCGCTTGAAATAGGAAACGTATTTCTTCCGTGACAAGCGAAATTCATTTGGAAAAATATGAGCTAGATTCCCAGAAGGATTCTCAGACGTGCTAGAATGCACCGTTTAGCCTCTTCTCAACCTTTAAGTTTTCCATAATATCTATATTTGCGATATATTTTTCATCATTATTTTTCCTATCCCATAACGCGGGAAAATGTTTCGAGCGGGACAATGACGCTTCGATCCTTTTTATCTTTTACGAAAAGACATATTTTCTAGATTTCCGCATTGCTTATCGTTTTCGTTTCCGTTCTTTTATTCGTTGTTGCATTCTGTTATTCGTTCATCATTCTTATTCGTTTTTCTGTTAATCTTAATATTTGTTCCTCGGAGAAAGACGAATCTTGCGCAATAATGTCTGTAAATCATATCTGCCACTAACCAAATTCTGTATATTGCGGATTATTTATTCACGAGTATTAGAGTATTCAAATACCCGTTAAATGACCGTTGGAAATTGGATTAAAAGCAAGTTTCTAATGCGAAAATTTATCCTTCCCTCTTTCCTCGTCTTGACGTAAATATAATCACAAAAGAATTTTCACTCTATTATCGTTATATTAATATATCGTATCAATCTCTCTCTCATATCTAACGTTGGTACGTATTAGATCATTTTGGAAATATATAGAAATCGTTCAACGTTCTCTTCTTCTCCCTAAATTATTATGAGAAATTTGAGGGAATATATGAGGAGGAAAGAGTCCGGATACACACCGAATTGTAATCGCTGAAAGATGAAAAAGTGAATATAGGCCCGTATTATTAGGATGTGAATGCGAATATGACGAAGAAAGGGAAATTAATATCGGCAGACGCGACAGAGGCCAAGTTGGAAAGGGCATTGGTGTGACGCGGCAGTTAAGAGGGTTTAGGGGCAAGCAGGATACCAACTAGTAGATGATGTAAGGGTTCTCTGTGTTGGTAACACGTGGATGTTAATCAGAATGGGATTTACATACGAGGCTCGCATTACTCGGTGTGCCGAGCACATGCACCGAGAGGAGAAGATAACGGGCACCGGAGAGAATGGGCCGCAAGAGTCGCGTGCAACCCTATATCTGTAATAACGTGCCACCTAAGCCATAATTATATATCGCGTCTGGGATTATTGTCGCATTTGCACTTGGGCCTAGGGCAAATATCGATTTAACAATCACGTAATTGTAACAACACATTGATTTCGCATTCAGATTTCAATTCGTAACACAATGGAAATAATACTCCGAAAACGAAAGTGATCGAAATTCTTCGAACTTGTCGTACATATTAATAGATAATATATCTCTTCTTTTTTCGTCTTATTTATTTTTCTTAAAAATTTATCAACCAATTCGAGCGTAAAAATAAATAATCCAATACGCGTTGAATACGTGTTTTCGATATAATAAATGTAAATAAAGAATCGTCGAATCGGTGGTATTCAAGGAAAATGGAAGAAATATCGAGGTTTTTGTTTTAAAAATCGATCTATCTATATATTATAGACAAGAGAATTTACGTAACATTTACGCAACATTTCGTTACAACGAAACGGCGAGAATGTGATTTAGTAGGAACATATTACGCGGATATTCTAATTCTTCGTTAAAATGTAACAAGGGTTATTGCTTTTTGTTGAACGAGGATCACGTTACGTATGCATGATAAAACTTTATATCAAGTTTCCAACAAATTTGAAGCTTAATTTGTAATATGCATATTATGCGATACGTATGTACCTATCATACGTGATTTATACATATAGTACGTATAACTTGTCTTACTTTTGCTTTAAACGCGTTCTGCGCGTTACGTTCAATTACGTGATTATTTTCCAATGATTTTCAGAATTTCTTTATTTTCGTAGTAAATTTTTTTTCTCTTCCATTACTTGAAACTTTTTTCAAATATATACGATACGATGGTACGATTTAAAATATATACATCGGATATCGGTCGATTTCGAGTTGGAATACGTGTATTTCCGCGTACGAACGGGATTTTGCTCTCGCAAAGTTCTCTTTTCGACTTTTTATTATTACAAAATTTCAGATATATTTGTCACGCGTACGTATTTATTATTTGTAGCCTTGAATTTTCCTCGCAAAAATTTAATTTTTTTCATAGATAAAACGTTGTTACAAAATTACGCGAAACCCGAACAAAATTCCGCGAACGATAAACGCGTTCTCTTCCATACCGTATCGTTGGAAAATTTTAAATATATTTGTAAAGAAATATATTTTATCGGAGTATAACGAATCGTAACGATCGTCAAATCGACATATGTAGCATTTCCTGTACAGATACCAAGTTCCAAGTTAAAAGAACGTAGTTTTAGTCGATGCGGATAGAGAGGAAAGTACGAACGTAAGCTGGAAACATTTTGATGGCGCTGTTAAAATCGAACGAGGTTTTACTCGCCAACCGTCACTTTATAGGAGCGTATATACGAATCGTACGAGCGTGTTCGAATTCGAATCTTACGATGGACAACGTAATTCGAGGACCGGTATCGGTCGAGAAAATTACGCGAACAAGAAAGTCGCTATTAAAATATTCATCGGCCGTAATGGAATGGTCACGCTAATTTAACTAGAGCGTATTTACTTTTTCCTTTCTTTCTTTATTCCTTCTTTCCGTCCAGTGTTTGTACTTTGGCCAATTCAAATTTCATTCACCATCAAATTTTACGAAAATTTCTATCATGTATGCATTTATATATACATATACAAACTTTCATCGTATCCATTTATTACACGATTTATTATAAATTGTTTAAATCTCAAATTTTTTATATCGCTTTAATAATACTATTCAATTATACAAAAAAGATAGAATTCCTATTCTTAGATAAAAAAAAAAAAAAAAAATCATCCTTCTTCCTTTCTTCGACTCGGTGTTCGTAAACGCGGCGCCTCGTCTAAGATTCAGAAAAGTTTAAACTGTATCGAAATTTATCGGTATTACAGCCTGGAGCAATTTTTTCGTCTCTCTATTGTTCTTCCTCGTCGACAAGATAATAGGAGTTGAAAAGACGGCGAAATGAGTTCGGGATTCAACGTTCCCGTATCGTCCGATCCTTTCACGAAAGTAACGATCGTGCCAACCACGTTTACGGTTAATGTTCCGAGAAACGAATAATAAAGACAATGACATTTCGCTCGGAATTGAAATCTTTTTACGTTCGCTTTTCCATTTTTTCGACGATCTTATCCTTTGTCGTCACTCCCTCGTCGATATCTAAACGTAACATTTTATCTTTTATATAATTTTAAAAAGTGTAAAAACAAAAAAATGATAAAAAAAAAGAGAAAAAAACCATCGTTCTTTTTTGGGAAAACAATTAAAATAATCTGACAACATTGTATTATTATCTAATTGCACGAAAAAAAGGTTTTCCATTTTCATAAATTTGCTTCGAACGTCGAGAAGTCGAGCAAATGAAATTTCCAAACTGCCATCTCGTAAAAAATTAACGAGATATAAAGAGATAAGCAATACACTTTGATACGAAAAAAAAGGACTAAACCGTTCTACTTACCGGATCTTAATCGTTAAAAGTAATCGTTTCTGGCACGGCAAACATAAAGAAAGAAAGAAAGAAAGAAAAATCAAGAGTTTTGTTAGACAACGGTTTGGCGGTCGTCCGACTTGTTATCTTTCTCACCATGGACAAAGTTTGGTCGGTTGGACTCGTTTCACTTATGGCAAATGGCTCGAACAGTTTTAACTTTGTCAAAAATGTATCGATAATTGCAAATAACAACGTTCCACGCGTTACGTTTTAAGATTTATTTTCAAAAAATTTATCGTTCCGAATCGTACGACGAACAATCGACGAGTCGGGAATTATATCGATATTCTTTACCAA